TTTCGTGTCCAAATGAGTGGTATGCAACTTTTCATGTCCAAATGAGCGGTGTGCAACTTTTCGTGTCCAAATGAGAGGTGCGCATTTTTCTCGTGTCCAAACGCACTGTGTCCAAATTCATCGTCCAATTGAACCTTGGGCAAAATTTTGTGTCTGCAACGTGTCCATTTGTTCCGTGTTCAATTGTACTGTGTCCAAGTGCACCGCTCCCCAACTTGTAGTATAGAGTCCACTTTTATAGTAAAGTGAAGTGGTACATTTTTTGATTAATGGCAATTAGTGTTATCATAGTAATCCTTTCCATTTGAATATGTACAGAAAAATGGAAATGAATAAATGGAAATAGCTCCAATAGCATAAAATACCTGAGGACATGTTGCGACATTAGACATCCCTTATAGAAATATCATACTAAGAATCATTGATAATTACTTATTTTTAGTATTAAAAATACTGGATAATAAGTAATTATCAATGATTCTTAGTATGATATTTCTATGGGAGCGGTGCACTTGGACACGGTGCATTTGGACACAGCCAATCACAGCACCGTGTGATTAGAGACATTTGTAGGGTCCCTTGGAACAGCGACTTGTGATTGGACTGTGTCCAATTGCCCCGTGTCCAACTGATATACACCCGAAGTTTATATTAGCAATCCAAATACTAAAATAATTTTTCTTTTCAATAATATTTCCTTTTTATATATATATATATATATATATATATATATATATATATATATATATATATATATTCTAAACGGATGTACATTCTCGCTACATTTTGATTCATTCCGCCATTGTGAGGGAACGCAGATTCAAACCAATAAAAAGAGGTCTACGAATGGCCAGACTCTGTATTCTAGGGACTCTACTTACAACCACTTACAACCACGTTCACGCAATTGTAGAATGGGCTTAAGTTTTTCTATGTGCCAGCTTTAAGGGACGTCTACATTGGAAGTAAACAGTAAGAAGTAGGAAGTAAGAATAAGAAATTGACCAATCATAGTTGATTATTCTTCTCACATTCGACTATGGTTGGTCAATTTCTTACTCTTATTTCCTACTTACTTCCAATGTAGACGTCCCTTTACTCGCTGTTACAGCGGGTGTATATCAGTTGGACACGGGGCAATTGGACACAGTCCAATCACAAGTCGCTGTTCCAAGGGACCCTACAAATGTCTCTAATCACACGGTGCTGTGATTGGCTGTGTCCAGATGCACCGTGTCCAAGTGCACCGCTCCCGTTACAGCAGAGGTATAGGAATGCTCTATGTATATACGTCATTGGACATTTCTAGTTATGGCAACGTTGCATAAATGTTTCCGGGACGATACGGGAAAGGTCGCTTCAATGTAACGTTATTACAATGTTGCTGGGACGAAATTTTGTTTAGTGGGTATATGTGATAATGTAGAACTGTGTGATTTTAGAGAGAGATTCGACTTTTCCATTTAAAAATTATCCCAGCTAATTAAAAAATGTAATAAGATTTCTTAGTGAGCTTTTGTAGCAAATACACTGCTGATTGCAAGAATTTTACTTCGCTTTCTCAGAATTAAATAAATATAATTTGGGAATTCTGATAAAAATAAATATTCTCTAGCCATGGAACATCCCAAACAGCATCCAATATTTATGATAAAAATTTATAAATATTTAGGTCGAATTGTTTTTTAAAAATATTACATAAATATTTTATAAATATTTTTATACATAAAAAAAAAGTATCAAAATCTGTATTCAAAATTTTATTAAAAATTTTATTAGGCTAGATATTTTATACAATATTTATAGTAAACAAAAAATAAATATTTGTAGTAATATTTTATAAATATTTCTATAAATAGTATACATAAAAAAATAAATGTAATTATTTCTATAAATAGTATACATAAAAAAATATTTCTATAAATAGTATACATAAAAAAATAAATGTAATTATTTGTAATTATTAAATTAATGAAAAAATAATAAAGTCGAAATTTAAATTAGTAATGTATATTGAAAAAATTCTTTAAATCAAAGAAATATATTTTGTTAAATATTTTTTAACTTAAACAAGTTTTTGCTAGATTTTAGAAAATATGTAATAAATATAAAGTAATATTTTTTTAAATTTGTGAAATAAGCTGTAAAATTATAAATGATTTCCTTACAAGAAAAAAATTAGTTTTTTTTATGTAAAAACTATGTTTAAATAAATATTTGCTTGTTTTAAAAGTAAGTAAAGTGCAAGTAAATTATTTTATAAATCTAAATAAATTATTTTATAATATTAAAAGTAAGATGATATTAGGTTATGCTCAAACAAGGTGGCTGGCCTTACTCCCTGCTATTGAGAGAGTTTTTAAAATGTTTTTGCTTCTAAAATCGTATTTTCAATCTCAGGATAAATGTCCATTGTTTCTGCTAAGTTTCTTCGAAAATCCTTTATCTGAAGCATGATTATATTTTGTTCACAGTCAGGCTTCGTTTTTCTATGAAATAGTGAAAAAAATAGAAGGACAGACAATCACTGTATTTGAAGTAATTGATAATATTTCCGGATTAAAAAATATCTTGATCTCCAAATTTGAAGACTGTTTCCTTTCTTTAATTGTTAGAACAATACTTGGAAAACTTGAGAGAGAAGGGCTACCTCAAGAAGAGATACAAAAGTTTCATGCCATGGCACTCTTATTTTATGAAATTGCTTTGAATTATTTAATAAATGGACTAAAAAAAACTTTCAGGATCAGAATCATACAACTGGATAATTTTGAACAAAATACCTGCATGGACAGACATTAAAAAAACTTTATTATTCGTAACTAAAAATATATTGTCTATTAAGTTTGTTGAAAATAAAATATATAATGAGTATATCTATGTGAAGCAATTTGTAACAAAGGAAAAAATTTCCGAGTGGTTTGTTAAAAAAACTTTGCCAATTCAAAAATGGATTGACATGATTTCTCATTTCAACAAAAATATTGTTCCTTTTTCAAATATACTTAAATTAGCAGGGTACTTTTTCAGTCTTCCTGGAACTAATGCAGCTACTGAAAAAATATTTTCCTTTATGAATAGTACATGGAGTAGTTGTAAAACTCAACTTACTGTGGATACTCTGAAAGCAATGTTAGTGACTAAAGTAAACTATGATAAAACCTGTGTCGAATTTTTTAAAATGCTTTTGACAAAAAAAGAACTTCTTAAAAAAATTCACAACAATAGTAAATACAACTTTACTTCTTCTTGTTAATTTTAAATAAAAATAACATTTATATCTTTTTGTTAATTTTAAGTTACTTTAAAAATAACATTTTTATCCTTTTTAAATTTTAAGTAAAGGTAACGTCTTTATTTTCTTTGCAATAATATATTTTTCTGTATTATTGTTATATTTTTATACGTTTATAAATAAAATATATATATAAATAATTTTCAGTGACTGTCAAATAATTTTCGGATGTTTTTACCCCTTCCTGCTTCATACTTTTATGAAGTTCCCGAATTTAGGATTAGGAAATCTGGTCACCTTTATTATTATGCATATAAAATATAAAGGGACGTCAACTTTATGTTCATGAAGACGTTATTTAATATTGTTAAAAGTGGTCAGTGAAGCATCAAAATTTAATGTCAGAATAACGTATATCTGCTTGAGTATATATAGAAATATATATACTTGAGTATATATAGAAATATCCAAGGCAAACAATAAAAAATCACGATCAAATCACGTTAAAATGATGTGGAAATGCCGAGAAAATGACTAAAAAGTTAACTTTACAATCATGATTCACTCATTTTCTTGTCATTTTGACATTATCATGATATTCTGATGATATTGGGATCTGTATTAAAAATATTAAATATTCCTGATAATAATATACACACACACACACACAAAATATATTACATTATAAATAAATACGTTTTTTTTTTCTGAAATACTGTGAAACATTAACTATTAATAATCTTATTATTGTGACTTAGAGTAAAGAGCAATAGATCGTTTGACACTTTAAACATATGACCATGATGATAACTTATTATTGTGAAGACCTCAGAGAAGATAATAATCATGTTATTAGAACGCTTGCTTATCAAACCACGAAGATAGTGAATAGTAGGTAGGAATCGGAAACAAACGCGACGATATTCTTGTGGTTTTTTATTTTTTCCGTTTCATAGAAGCTCTCATGTTAAATATAAAAAGATATATTGTTGAAAGATACAGTCTATTACAAGTTCTTGTAGTTAGAAAAATAACAGAATCGTCATTTTGTATCGTTTTAAAACATTAAATTGAAGTCCGTGTTTAAGTTATTCATATTCTACTTTACCTATGGATATGTAATCTTTGTGACGTAAATACATCACGAGAGTAATAGAAAGTAATACTCGAACTGGATGTGTTGCGTAAAGAAAATTATAATCGACGTGCCGCGTAACGTGAGTGTCTGGATAAAACTACTATTGCTGTCTTTTGCGTTGTCAATCAACGTACGTTTTCAGGATAATTAAATAACAGCAAATATTTGTCGAATCTTTGTATCGGGAAAGAGTGTAAAGTTAAGAAGAGGTTAAGGGAGAGGTTAAGATTTTACTGACTGCCTTTGTGACAAGGACGAGGTGTATGCGAATTTCACATAGATGGCTGATCAAACAGCAAAGATCAAGATTTGCGTGGTCGGTGGCGGCGCGGCTGGCTTGTGCGCAATCAGGCACCTGGTGGGAAATTCGAAATTCGATATAACGGCCTACGAGCAAACAAACGAAATAGGAGGTACATGGGTTTACGTGGAGCAAGTTGGGCTAGATGAGAACGGCTTACCGATTCACTCCAGCATGTATCAGAATTTAAGGTTTTTGATTCTACTTTCAGTTTGTTTCTTTCTTAAGATTTTTAGCTCATTAATAAATATCCTTGGTGAACATTTTTTAATAAAAATTTTTTAATTTTGCTGAAAAATTTTCTGAAAAATTCTGAAAAAAATCAAGAAATTGGAACACTAAAAAATTTAGAAAAAGTTATATTTCATAAAAGTGAAAATAAAACGAAAATCTTTTAATTTCTCTAAAAATTTCTGAATTTCTCTTCTGAAATTCTCAGAAATTCTCTTCTTTCAGAAAAATGCAGAAAATGTCAGTAAATTGGTTGTACTTTATAGCAATAAAAAAACTGAATTTCTTTGAAATTTTTTGAAAATCTGAAAATTTCTGAATTTTTCCTAAAATTTGTGAATTTCTCTACATTTCTTAGAGACCTAGACAACACGAAATACTTATAATGGCTCCCGCACACAGGACGCGGTAATGCTTGCCGCGCGGCGGAAGTTCGCGCGATAGCCAAACAATATACTGCTTTCCGTAATAACCTTCTGGCTCTTACGGAAAAACCACATATTGATTGGCTGTCGCGTGGACTTCCGCTGCGCAGCAAGCATTACCGCGTCCTGTGTGCAGGAGCCATAAGTCTTATAAACTTATAAATATTATAAACACTTACAAAATATTTATAAAATTTATTTGAATATTTTATAAATATTTACCAAAATATTTCATAAATATTTTTGTAATCTTAGATTCAATAGATCATAAATATTTATCATAATTATTATAAAAATATTTATTAAAACATATATTTATATATATTTTTCTCTTTTCATGAATTTTTATTAAATTTTCTACTTTATTGTTTTACACGCTATTTGATTCAATTAAAATTGTAATTCGAAAACTTGCTTACCAATTACTAAAATTCCAACCTGAGATCTCTGATTCTTAAATTATTCACCTTACCTACTGTACCACTGTCACTTTGACTGAGAGACACTTCGTACCCTTATAGAAATATCATACTAAGAAATACTGAAAAATTATTAGTGATTAAATATTACCAGTAATTTAGTAATTTTTTGCCAGTACTTAATTTCTGGTGAATACTGATAATAAAATCACTGTTAAATATTGATAGTAATCAAATACTGAGAATTATTATGCGAAGGTGAAAAATGAGAAAATCATAATGTTTACAAAAATATACTTATATTCCTAATTTTCTCATTTCTCATAAACTACTAGATATCGAAGGTTGTCAACACATTCCAAACTTTCGTGAATCCTCCTACGATTTCGATCCCAAGCGATATACTACCGGTCACTAATCCATGTCCTGACTCCGTTAAAGTGTTGCTAAACCTGACGATCGAGCGGCACGCGGCGATTCCCAATGACTCCAACGATATTCTTACGATTAATGCATATACAATGTATTCTTATAGTGTTCACAGTATATTATAATATACCTAGCAAACATCAAATAATAGTTACATAATTTTTACTTGTTGTTTATTGGATAATTTGCTGATAGATATTGAAACAATGCAACATTCGATATGCGATGAATATTGATGTAATGTAGTGAACCAGTGATAATTACTTTTACATTTTTAACAAAATGTTATAATGATTAATCCAACAAAAAAAA